CTTTTATTACTGTTTTGGCTTTCGCCAGCCCCGTACTCTGTATTACTGTTTTTACTGTTAAGCAGGCCTTCGGTAATCACGGATTACTGGCCGGTTACGGTGCTAAACGCATAGGGGCGGGTTTGGGTCGTAACAGGGACTGAAACGAGTTGCTTACACAGAGACCTCTATTCACAGAAGAGAATGCATACATGGTTATGCTCTGCTGCCAATAAATATTGAAATTCAACTTTTTTAAAAATTAATTTTTTATTTTTTATATATTCTTATTTGGAAAAATTATTCACAAATTCCATTTCAGAAATTATTTTTTATGGTGTGGTGTGGGTTTCTAATTTCATTCCATTTCACAAATTCCATATTCTTATTTGGATGTTTTCTTATAAATTAATTCTTCAAAAATTTCATTCCATTTCAGAAAATTATTTATGGTATGGTGTGGGTTATGTTTCTATTTTATATGTTTTCTCTTACTAATTTGACTTGTATGTATGTACTGTACTCTACTGTTGGTCAACATAGAATATGGTCTTGACCCGTCCATAGGGAAGGCAACAATGCAAGCAGCCCAAGAGGTGGCTGAAGGAAAGCTTAATGACCATCTTCCACTTGTGGTGTGGCAGACCGGCAATGGGACTCGAAGCAATATGAATACTTGGTGAGAAATGTTGCATTGGAAATGTTGCATTGGCAGATTGGCAGTGGGACTCATTTGTTGCATTGGACATTGCATTACATTCATTTCATTGGAAATATATTTGTTTTTGAGAAATGTTTGGAAATGTATCTTTTGCGAAAAGATGAATACTTGGTGAATCTGGGTAGGGGTTGTAGAACCGTGCGGTTAGGTGTTGAGCCTTCCAGTTTACTGGTAAAAATGACGGTGGTAGTGCATTAGGGCCTACTTGCAGACACTCACCTAGAAATTCACAGAGCATGTATTCATGTAACATATATGGTTTAAAATGGAAATGGTTTTATATTTGTTATTGCATCTCAGCATTGCATGCTTTATAAAAAGAGAGATAAATTATTTTATCATAAACATGGCATGAGCATACTTCTCTTTAGTCATGTCATGATTCATATGTTGTGTAGTATATCTTTACTGGGCTGTGGTTCACCCTATATGGGAAACCATTTCAGGTACATGTGCTATGTCTCTGCCAAGGCATTGACTTGGTAGGACTCGGAGCTAAGGCTTCATTTTTGTTTCATTGTTATTTGTTGAATGTAAGCCTAGGGTTGTATTTGCGTTGAGTTGAAACTTCATTTTGTGTAACCAAGAATGTTCATGGATAAAGTTGTAAGCCTGTAGGGCACTTATTATCTGTTTCGCTTCCATTTCATACTTGTTGTAAAATGTATGCTTAGGATTGGAACTGGGGCATTGAGATGTGAATAGCATATATTTGGCATTTGGGATTTAATAGAAATGGATGTATGGAATAGTTAGCTGTATATATGTATTTGTCTATCAGATGGGTTTTGTAGCATAAATAGATATGCCCTGCCCAATTTTCGGGGCGTTACATGTCCACACATATTTGATCTGTTTGAAAATTATCACAAAACAATTAAATTAACTCAAATGTTTAAAACTATACTGACACAATTTGTAGGATGATTCTCTATACATCAAATATTTACCTCATTACGTATTTTTTCTAATTACATTTTCTTAAAAGAAAAATTAAAAATTATTTAACCTCTTTGCCCACTATTATTCCATCTATACTCTTATTCTAAATTCAATTTACAACTGATCTAAAAAAGAAAAAAAGAAAAAAACAATTTACATCTAAAACTTTTCAAACTCTAATTGATCTCCAACTATTACAATCACCATCATCTCTGATTACCACCCAACCCCCTAAGCGTCTTGTGAAAAAAAATCTCAGAATTTAATGAAAATATATATTTTATACATTTATATTGAATTTATTAATTAAAATATATATATTTTTCAATTTTACTCAATAAAAATAAATAAAAATTTAAATTAAAAATAAATTAAAAAAATTAAATTTAAATTAATAAAATTAAAATTTTAAGATTTGATGGGAAAAAAATGATAAATATAACATTACCATAGCCTACATGGTCAAGTACAGCGGAAACGTGGTATCGTGTGGGTATAAATTGAACTTAGGGCATTTCAAATAATTTGGATAAATTACCAATACATTTTTAAATTGTATTTAAAATATAAATTGTTCTTATGTTTTCAAAATTACATCTTGTTCTTTGAAGTTTTTAATTTTATCATAAATGTCTTTTATCAATAAATCAAATCAATTAATAATTCTTAGAGAAATGTTTGAGAGCTGTAGGAAGAGAGTTCTAATAGCTCTAATTTGTGTGTGGGCCTCATCTGATTTGATGTTTTGGCCTTATTTTTTTTTTATTTTTTTTATTTTATACATCATTAGAGCTCTAGTTTTAGGGGGATGAATCACCGTTGTAATTTTTAATATCAAAAACAGGTTTTAACTCTCTCTCTCTCTCTCTAAATTCAAGGCATCTCTCTTTAAGCCTCCCTATCTAAGGGTTGCTTTGGGAAGATAGTTAAAAGCTGATTTTTTTGACTTTTTTTTTTGGCTTTTTTTTAATAAAAAAAATGTATAAAAAACGTGAGAAATGATGTGACCCAAAATAGGTTAAAAACTAGAAAGTTGCTTTTAACCCACTTCTTAAAAGAGGCCTAAGCCTTCTGCTAGGTGTGTCGTTAGGGGTGGAGAGGGGTTTCAACCGTTGGCCTCCTCTCTCCTTTTTCCACTCAATTTTTCTCATTTTCTTTGTCATTTTGCTAATTAATATTGGAAGCTTGTCTTTTCAACCCTTTTCGGCGGTACCACTACAACATTGCCACCAGATCTGTTACCTTCCCGCTTCTATAGATCTATCCATACTAGATCTGCCTCATCTCCTTCAGATCTGCCTCTAGCCACTGTTGTTGGCATTGCCTCTCCATCTTTTCTGATCTTCAAAATTTGATGTTTGGCTTGCGTCCAAACTTTCACCTTCGCGTTCAAAACTTTAAGATCTGGTTTTAGATCTTCTCACAATCTGAAGACTAATGTTGTTTAACGCGTTCGTTTCATGCTATGTGACCACCTTAACCTCAATGTTACATCTTGATCAGCGGATGTAGAGTCTTTATATTTCAAGTTGAAGGTTGTGGTACAATAGAGTTTTGGATCCATTTGGTTACTTAGATCTGGTTGCTTTCAGTTTGTTTTTTTATTTTTATTTTTTATTGTTTGCTATAATAATTTTCTCTGCGTGGAGGTTGTCTCCCTAATTTGTGTGGTTTTTTTTCTCCTCCTTTATGGAGACTAGGAGTGGTTTGGGATGCATCTAAATAAGTACACTTTTTAACTTTTTATGAAAAGATGTGCAGAAAAGTACAGAGGTTATGTGACTGAAAAAAGATAAAAAGATAAAAAAAAAGTGTGTACTTATTACTATTAGGTTATGCCAAACTTGGAAGATTCTTCATCTTATGGAAGTTTGTTATCTCTTTATGAGATCTTTTGCTATCCCAGTACGAGATTGATTCAATTTTTTATCGATTTCGCAATGAAGACTTTTTTCCCAATCTAAAATAATAATAAAAAAAAACAGGTTTTAATGATATCAAAAATATTTCAATAAATAATTCAGATAATTTTATTATTGTATAGAAAAGTAATTAGGAATTTTATTTTTTCAATTAATTCTGATAAATAAAAAATTATTACAATGAGATATTTATATTTTTTCAAACCACATGAGACAATTTGTATTTTAAGTAACTACAAGAGGTATATTTGTAATTTACCTAAACAATTTTAATGAAAACACAACTTAAAATACTCACGTGAGAATGAGAAATTTTTTTTAATACAATTATTTATTACCTTTTACCTTCCATTTATATGTAACGCCTGAAAAGAGTTTACATTCCACGTTACATAAATAATTTTATTGTGTGTTAGTGGTAACAGAATGGTAAATTTCTACTCGAGAATCGAGGACACTAATAAGCTACAAAACTAATTTTAGACTCCCTTTGCCAATCTTTTTAAATTAATTAATTTATTAAAAAAGTTATTTTGTTGAAAAACTATAAATAATTTAGATGTACTCATTTTTCACTGAAAAAAAAAAATCAACTTTAGCTATTAAAAAAGTCATTAGAAAGTAAAAATATGTTAAACAAATTAATATATAATTATATCTTCTTCTTTTTTTGAGCTCATATATAATTATATCTAATATAGATATTTTCTATTTAATTTTAAATAAAAATTAATCTTAAGAACAAATAAACAAAACTTAAAATGTGAACAGAAGAAAATAAGAAAATAATTAAAAAGGCCAAGTCTAATTTACTTCTTTTTAAAAAAAATAAAAATAAAAAATAGACTGCATATGCTTGGCAACAAAAAGAACCAAAAAGGAGACAGCAACAAAAGTAAACCTTTATAATAGTGTTGGGTCAACTAACCAAGGGGGAGGAGGCCCAGAAATCTTACCCATGTGGATTCGATCAACGATGGGAAGATCCAATATGACAACGAAACATTGGACGCTACACCTCTTATAGCCAAATAGAGGCATTGTTATTCAGACTTTGGCCTATTTTCGGAAGGAATAATGCTAACAGATGATGTGGCAGGTGAAATTATAATTTTAAAATAATAATGTTATATATATTAATTGATACATATAATATCATTATTTGAAAAATAAGTTAAAAATTAATTTTTATTTTTTTATTTTTTGAAAAAGTGTATAAAAAAATATAGGGTAAATTACACTGACACTCCCTGAGGTTTATATTTATTACAGTTTCCTCCCTCACATTTTGGAAATTGCATCTCCCCCTGAGGTTTAAAGTTTCATTATAGATTCCCCCCTTCAGCGGGAGCCTCTATTTGCACACACCACTTCCCCTCTCCTCACACACTTAATGACATTTTTTTTATTACATTTTTATCCTAAAATAAAATTACCAAAATATCCCTTTCTTCTCCATCCAAAACCCCTTTCTTCTCCAACCAAAACCCTAACCCTAACCCTAATACCCAATACAGAGCCTCCCCTCCGATCATCTCCTTCCTCCCTCTGTCGCCTCCCTCTGTCGCCTCCCTCCAGCCTCCCTCTTCTCGAATCGAAGCCCCACGCCACCCCATAGTTCGTCGCTCACTCACCCTCCCCACTACCCCCATAACCCCTCACTTCGGAACACAACACCGTCGCCGCCGCAGCTCCCACCCCTTCGCGACCCTCAGTTCTGCACACCCACAGAGAGAGAGAGGAGAACCTAAATCTGAAAGAAGACGAATTTGGTTCGACTATCAACCTCCGAAACCCTATTTTCGCGACTGAGAGAGAGAGAGAGATCGAGGGGATGAGGTGGGGGTCGCGATAGTGTCGCCGGTGGTGGAGTAAGGGGTGGGGATGGCGACGGGAAGTGAAAGGGAACGGTGGTGCTGCGTCGCCGCCGACGAGGTGGTCGCTGGTGTGTGGATTGGGAGGGTTGGAAAGTTGTATGTATGAAGATATAATTGGAATAAAAGTGTGTGTAATAAGTAATTTATTTATTTTTTTAAGGTGTGTGAACTAAGAAGGATGTGTAAAAAGTAGAATTGGTGTGTTCAAATAGAAGCTCCCCCCTTCAGCCCTTTAATTTTTTTAAATACCAATTTTGCCCTCACTAAGTAAATTACATTGACACCCCTCACATTTTAGAAATTACAATTCCCTCCCTAAGATTTAAAGTAACATTACCAATTGCCCCCTAGGTTAGTATTAATTAGAAAAAAATTAATCAAAAAAAAAATTAATCGGGAAAAAAAATATTTGAAAAAAAATAATTAATTGAAAAAAAAATTTGTTAGTAAAATTTTTAAATTTCTGTTTAAAAACCAACGTAAACTCATTTTTTGAATTTACGTTTTTTTCTCAAATTTACAAACTGAGACAACCATTTATAAACCAAAAAAATTATCAAACAAGTTTTTATGACAGGTTTTAAAATTTTTGTAAATAAAAATTGAAAACGAAATGGTTACCAAACATGTTTCAGATGGTAAAAATATCATAAAATTGACAAATAATTAAATAAATTACCAACATAATAAATGACTTATTAAAAGATTCTTAAGCTATATATGGTTTGATTTTTAGAATTTTTTTTAAAAAATTAAAAATTAATTGGTTAAGAAATAAAAAATAAAAAATAATTATTATTTTTATATCATTTTTATCTTTCGAGTGGTTAGAAATAATGTTTTACAAATTAAATTGAAACAGCCATACGTATATATATAACCTGTCCAAAAGTTAAAATGATAATTATTTTTTACCCTTAAATGATAATTATTTTTTATTTTTTATTTCTTAACTAAATTAATTTTTAATTTTTTAAAAAAAATTCTAAAAATCAAACCATACATAGCTTGCGAATCTTTTGATAAGTCATTTCTTATGTTGGTAACTTATTTAATTATTTGTTAATTTTACGACATTTTTACTATCTGAAGCCTATTTGGTAACCATTTCGTTTTCAGTTTTCAATTTATATTTACAAAATTTTTTAAAAACTGTCATAAAAACTTGTTTGATAATTTTTTTGGTTTGTAAAATGTTGTCTCAGTTTGTAAATTTGAGAAAAAAACGTAAATTCAAAAAATGAGTTTATGTTCATTTTTAAACAGAAATTTAAAAATTTTACTAACAAATTTTTTTTCAATTAATTTTTTCTCAAATAATTTTTTTTTTCAATTATTTTTTTTTTCAAATAATTTTTTTTCCAATTAGTTTTTTTTTTTCAAAGAATTTTTTTTCCAACTAATACTAACCGAAAGGACAATTGGTAATGCTACTTTAAACCTTAGGAGGGGATTGTAATTTCTAAAATATGAAGGGTGTCAATGTAATTTATCTAATGACGGCAAAATTGGTATTTAAAAAAATTAAATTGCTAAGGGGGAATCTATAATGAAACTTTAAACCTTAGGGGGAGATGTAATTTTCAAAATGTGAGGGGAAAAACTGTAATAAACATAAACCTCAAGAGGTGTCAGTGTAATTTACCCAAAAATATATAAAGATGATGTAATTAAAAAAAATTAAAGAACCAAAAAATTAACTTTTAATCCAAATGCCAAAATAAGCTAAAGTTTTTTAAAAAATAAACTTATTTGTTATTTTTCATCATGATAACACACCATCATGTGTTTTCAGCTATTTTTAAGCACAATAACCTTTGTAACTAGGTGCATGAATATTATATCCTTACATTATGATTTATTTTTTACTCTCATCTAAACTATCATCAACACTAATTTATTCATATAAAAAAAAAAAGAATACGTGAGATTATTGAAAATAATTTAAATAAATATATTTTTTAAATTTTTATGAAAAAATATTTTTAAAAAATAAAAAAATAATGTAACAAAAACAATAAAATTAGTGTATCCCAAACACGCTTGTAATATTTGATATCACAATATTATCAAGATTAAACTATTTAAAGGAAAAATTATAGTATACACCTCTCAAAAGGTATGTATTAATATAATTTCTTATTTTTTAAATTATAATTAAAAAAATCATAATTAAACACTTTTAGGATGAATGGCAATCTTATACAAACTTAATTTAATAATTTACTTTATAATAAAATATTACATAACTTTAACTAAGGAGAAGGACTCTGATGTAATTTGGAAAGATAAATTTTTTTAACTTTTTTAAATCAGAGCACTTCTTTATTTTTTATATATAAAAAAATTAAAAAATCAACTTTTTAACATCGGGCAATGGATTACAGAACCCAATATTCATAACTAAAGAACCAAAATCATCAATGGTGATCGGACAAAGGTGCAGGAGTTTAAATTACAACCCAAAGGACACAGGGTTTAAAGTTGTGGTAAATCCATTAAGGGCACAGCCCTAGACATCCGAGCAGTCCTTACCGGTAGGGTAAGAAGGTCTTCTTCTTCATCCCCTCCACCAATGCTCTATTCGCAGTGTAATGGCGATCGGTTTTTTTCGGAGAACTTGTTTGCTTCAATTTTGCTTTTGTGTTTCCGTTTCCTTGCAATTCTTTTCCTTCTCATCCCTTGAAGATGATGAGCAAGTGAAGACCTTGAATATCCACTTCTTCAAGTTCCTTCCAGACGATGTAGACCTTGAAGACGAAGTAGAGCCTGACGGTATTGTCTCAATCGACGGAGTTTCAGCTTCTTTGTTCTCAGAATCTTCCAACTCCAGAATGCGATGATGATGATAATGAGAGGCCTCATTTTCTTCGTGTTCTTGCCATTGGAACTGTGTTGTTCGTAGTGGTGACATCGGTCGGATTTGACCATTCAAGAACCACTCGTCGGCTGAACTCATACCGATCGGTGAGGACCCACAAGAAGATTTGAACTCGAACGAGCCAGTTGACAAGAAAGAATCAGACTCGACGTTTGGTTCGCCATTGTTACGGTTTGAAAAGAGCACTATTGCTGTGAGTTTGAGAGTAGAAATGACAAAGGACCCCCACAACAACAATACCCACATAGACATGTCAGTGATGAGTGATAGAAGGGAGAAAAAAATAAAAAACAAAAAGTAAAAGGTTGAATACACTGGAGGTGGTGGGATTTTTCCGTTTAAGAGAGAGAGAGAGAGTTAGGGTGGGCTTAGGGACTGAAACGAGACAGAGAGCTCTATTCTGTGAATAAGGAGAGAATGCATACATGCTTATACCATGTGCTTCCAATAAATATTGGAATTCAATTTTTTTAAAAATATTTTTTTATTTTTTTATATATTCTTATTTGGAAAAAGTATTCAAAAATTCCATTTCAGAAAATGTTGTTTCATTTAGTCAATTAAATGTACACAAGAGATTTCACAAAAGCTGTGGTGTATCATTCCAATTTTGATTTGTTTAGTGCACCAGCTGCTAATAAGAGGGACACTTTCTATTGTCATATGGCTCCGAAACCTCCAAATCTAGAGGAATTGCCCCCTCCTTGTAGGTATGTTTTTAAAGGTTACTAGTACGGTTATAAATCGCAAGACATATAACGGTATTAGGATGGAAAATTAGCTGTTTAAATTGGCCATTATGCCCGAATTGACGGCTTTTTAATGGGATTTTTATTGATAAGTCCATTTTAGAAATGTTTTAACCCAAGAAGTCCATGAAGGAATTTTTTAACCCATTTAGTCCCATGTATGTATAATTTTATTCCATAAAGTCCATTTTCTTGATTTACACTATTTTCTTGGACACTTATGCCCTTATATTTAATTTTGATACCCTTATAAATATTTTTTCAACGATTAGCAATTTAATTATGTGAACATTCATATTTTAAAATTCACATTTGTAGGAATGTAAATTGGCCCGTGGGTGGCCCAAAACCCGCCCGAGAGCCAGGGCGGGCCGGGCCCGTTGACAATGTGAATATTCACATTGACATCTTAAAATTCACATTAAATGGAGTGTAAAATTGGCCCCCGTCCCATGGCGGCGCGAAACCCGCCCGCGGCCCATAGGCAGCCCGGGACGGGCCCGGTCCGGCCCGTTGACAATGTGAATATTCACATTGACATGTTAACATTCACATTGATAAGAGTATAAAATTGGGCCGCGGCCCATGGGCGGCCAAAAGCCCGCCTGCAGCTCGGGGCGGGCCCGGCCCGGCCCGTTGACAATGTGAATATTCACATTGACATGTTAACATTCACATTGATAGGAGTGTAAAATTAGCCCGCGCCTCGTAGCTGTCCGAAACCCGTCCACGGCCCGTGGGCGGGCCCAGCCCGGTCTGTTGACAATGTGAATGTTTACATTGACATGTTAACATTCACATTGATAAGAGTATAAAACTAGATAGCAGCCTAGGGCGGGCCCGACTCGGCCCGGCCCAGCCCGTTGACAATGTGAATATTCACATTAACATGTTAACATTCACATTAATAGGAGTGTAAAATTGGCCCCCGTCCCGTGGCGGCGCGAAACCCGCCCGCGGCCCATGGGCGGCCTGGGGCGGGCTCGGTCCGGCCCATTGACAATGTGAATATTCACATTGACATGTTAACATTCACATTGATAAGAGTATAAAATTGGCCCACGGTCCATAGACGGCCAAAAGCCCGCCCCGGGCGGGCTCGGCCCGGC